ACTGAATTTTATCAGGTAGTTATTGAGAAATCATCGCTAGAGGTTTTTAAAAACTTTCGAATTTATTAATAAATTTGCGCACAGAATTATGTAGATTCTACATATGATCTAATTTTTATTGGTTGATTTTGGCGATCATCGGAGAATTTTAATTTGAAATATGGTTCGGTAATATTGGTCCTAAACACAATTCCGGCAATTCCGGAATTTGATTTTCTTGCAATAATAATTCAGCAACGGCTTGCAACACTGCCTCAGATGCAGATGATAATGAGAAATTTGATCGTGACTTAAAAAATTTTAGAAGAGTTTCTTCGAGTACTTTAAGATTAGTATTCGATTTTTCAGTTGAAGCGGTTACATTCTTCGTGACTCTGGCATTTGTATCTTTAAGTTCCTTAAGAATAGTATCCGATTTTTCAAATTCTTTCTTCACTTTCTTAATGGCTCTGGAATCCGTATAATCTATATTTTTTCGTTTTCCTTCAACCGATTTTTTTACATCAGACTTTATAAAAAAATAAGAAAAAAATTTTATTAGATCGGAAAAAATATGTAAAACAATATACACCAATTCCAGCTTGTAAGTTCTGAAGTTTCTTGATTAAGAAGAAGATTCATAACCAACTTTTCTAGAAGTTAGTAGACCTCTCAAAGAAACCCTGGATGGCCAGATGCAGGAAATCGCACAGGACCCCGAATAATATTGTATATATAGATGTTATATTGAAATTTTGGATGGCGAAATAAAAAAAGAGAAAGAGAAAACTTATACAAAATAAAGTTAAATATTGTCACGTTTTTGTGTTAGGGTTATAGGAAAATAACTTTTGGTTTGTTGGAATTTTTTCTTTAAATAGCTCTAATAAAAAGTGGATATAATTTGTAAAAAGTAGTTCGGGGTCCTGATCATATCCCTATTGCACATGCCAAGGCGAAGTCAGCAAAATGCGCATTCAATTCAACTACTCGCGGATATCCCTTTCCGAGACGAGATCATCAAGGGCACGAGAAGTCTGACAAAAAGTCACCATCCCGACTACACTCCAAAAAAAATTATTTGAAATATACTTTAAAACTTACTTTTTTACTTTTCAAAAGTCCTTGAATAACATTATGAATTCCCTGCGAAATATTTTGATCATTTTTCATGGTTTCTAACGTTCTGTAAAATATACCGTTTATCGTTGCCTTGTTCATATTTTTATCTATCCAACCAGCGTAGTGATCATATGACCAATCCTCTGGGGGGAAGATCACGAAGTATATTGCATAAGGAACTTGCCAATTTCGAATTTTTTCGATCACTATTATAAAGAAAACTCTAATAAGTATACTACAAAACAGGTACATAAATTAGCTCCTACACATACAATTTGAAAACTCTAAGTTACGCGTCTTAAGTAATTTCTGTTTAATGATTATTTCATTTGTTTCTTTGACTTGTTTTCGTCCCTTCAAATACTCAATAAGTTGTTCTGTGCTATATTTTCGACTCAGCTCTTCCAAGATGCTTGCATCTTCTTCTTTTAATGTCTTGGTTGAAGTAGAAATTGGTGTAGTTATCGTATACATATTTATTAAAAAAGACGCGTTGAAGCATGACTAAGAATGTTGGAAATTAATTTTAATTGGTGTGATGATCATTTCTAAAACAAGTGGTTCACATTAAATGAGCAGGGATAATGATTTTGGTACCAAAATTTTAAGGTAGAGGGTTTTAAATGTGGTGTAACTAGTGTTTCGACCCGGCTCAAAAAGTACAACCCGGGTGACCCGTCGGGTGACCTGCGGGTAACCCGGGTTGATCAAC